CAGTGATGAGGAAATTGAGGCATAGAGAAACTGAGTAGCTTGTCCAAAATCACACAGTTTGTATGTAGCAGAAGTAGGATTCAACCTTGATAATCTGGCTTCGGAGCCCACTCTGGATCTTACCCACTGTGCTTAAGTGGGAGTAAACAGCAGCAAGAAAAATGTAACCTGAACCACATTTCCCTCTCAGGCCTACCTCCAAAATCAATGTGGGGATCACATGTTCTGTTTGAAGCAAGGTTCAAAGTCACCCCAAGTAATATAACAAACCAAGACAGCTGTCTGAGTTCAATTAGTGATCTCTTTTCACTATACCTTCTTTTTCCCATAATGCATCCAGATGCATTTAATATGTTCTTTGATGTTCTACTTCATAGAGGACAAGAAATACCTTGTCCCTTAGCTTCCGTAGGCGGGACACAGTATGTGAGCCACTCAGAGTAGAATAGCTCTGAGGAGGCAGAAGCCCTCTGAGAAAGATCAACAGAAAAAGAAGGGGGAGGGGATGAGCTTTGACTTGGAATCCTGTGGAGAGGAGGTAGAAGATGGTGGGAGACAAGTCACAGTCTGGCTGGTTCATGCAGGTCTGTGTACCACCAGCAGCCCCACAGTCTCATTCCAGAAGGAAGAGTTGTGAATGGAGTCAGAATGAGGACTCTTTCAGAGTGGGAGTGGAAACCCAGAGCTGCCAAATCTGTGTGAATGGTAAAGGCGGCTTCTGCCAAGGAGAAAATTATTGTCAATTGAGGAACAAGGCAAAAATTCCAGGAGAGGAAACAGTCCTGGAATGGGATCCAGGAGATCCTGTTCCTGGTCCCAGCTCTGTGTGACCCAGTCTGTTTTATACATCAGGTTCCTGATCATAGCTAGGGGCACATGAGAGTGTCACAACTTTCAAGTGCATCACCACCAAGGGGAAGCCCCAGGACTCCAAGAAACAGGTCAGAGACAGTCCTGTGCCTGGGACCTCAGAGACAGTAGAGAACCTATTTCACTCCTCCCTCAAATTATCCTTTGCAAAACTTCTGACCTACAGAGGAAGCTGAGTGGTGTTGGGCCTGGAGATGAGGTGAAGAACGAGACAGGCAAAGAGCAGAACAGTCAGGTGGACAATGAGAAGGGTGCAGCTGCACCTACAGACAACCAAACACAGAACAGGCTGAGGCTGGGCAGTGAGTCCCGGCTTCTTTCCCCTCCCTGTCATTTAGCCTAGGGGAAGAAATGAAGGAGCAGAAGTGTGGGCTATGTACACAGGGGAAACAGAGAAGTTGTCTCTGGAATTTTGTCAAGAGGAAGTATGCTAGTAAGCCCCACACCCTGAGTGCAGGACTTTCTTACTGGGCCCCTGCCTGGGTACAGTTGTTCTTACTCTGTGGTTTGGGGAGAGATGTTCTCAGGACTTGATGGATTTGATATATCCTCTTTCTTTTGTAAAGGCTAGGTCTTCCTTGTTGGTCCTGGCAAAATGTTCCCAGGGTTTAGAGGAGCCCACAGTGTTCCCATTGTGAGAGCGGTCCCATGACTCAGTGAAACCTCATACATCAGAAGGAGGCTCTGGTTTCTAAACCAACAAGACTTCCATGTAGAAAAGTTTAGCCTGGTTTATTACCTGACCCTACTTGCAAGAGTCAAGGTGTGGGGGTGTGAGAGAAGTCCCAGGAGGCAATGCTGACAGGGCCCTAGAGCACACACACAAGTTTGAGAGCTTTACCCAGGGCCAGAGACCCTTTTCTCTGCTCACCTTCCCCAGGTTCCTCAGTCCCCAGAACTAGGTTAAATGTCAGATGCTATACTTTATAAAGTTCAAGGACATAACTGTGGTATTTAGGTGGAACCTGGAAAGCTTTCTTCTAGGTTGTTTTTAAATTACTTAAACACAGGTAAGTAAAGTCCTCCACCATTTTAACCTGACCACCAACTGCACTATTACTGTGGCATCTGACCCCAGTCGCTTCTACTGCAGCCTGACCTGGAGGCTCTGCTGTACCCTCAGTGGGATCAGAACTTTCCCTAGCTGAGTTCTGTATAACCCAAGGGCTTCCCCATGAACAAAGGACAGAAGAAAAAGTACCACAAAACTGAGTCAGGACATGAATGTCTATACTGGTCAATGGAGGAATTAAGGTTTGTGACCCAGGTACATAGAGCTACAGTGTATTAAAGCTGAAGGAAAGGATGTCAGAGGACATGGGCAGCTGAGAAAAAATAGTGGACAGTCTGGGAGGACTGTAATGTTTCCAAGAGTGGATCTGAGTTAATAAAGTGACTTTTGGAAAAGGATCTTAGGAGAGGAGATTTGTCTGAACAGTTGTTCTGTTAGTAAGTGGAGTAAAAAATAGCCATTTCACACTTCCTTCTTCTGCCTTACCTCTCCCCTAGTATGGTGGGAGCACAAAGGCTATATGGCAGTTGGAGGGATTAGGCTTAGATAACACAACGGGTGTCATCTGGGACAGGGCATCAGGAAAAGCACACTTCAATTTCCCATGAGCCTGAGCTGAGGAGGAGACATCCAGAGAAGACTGTCAGAAGAGCATGGTCTTTATCCAAATAGTGTTGATACAAGTCCTTGTTCTATTTCTCAGATGTGTGATCTGGAGTATGTCTGTTAATCTCTCAGAAATGAAATTCCTTGATCTACCCTATGAGAATATTAGCAAACCCACAGACTGTTAGGAAATCTGTGGGCCAGGCCCTGACCAGGTAGCTCATTTGGTTGGTGTGTTGTCCTGATATACCAAGGTTGTGGATTCATTCTCTAGTCAGGACACTTACAAGAATCAACCAACAAATGCATAAGTAAGTGGAACAACAAATTAATGTTTCTCTCTTTCTCTGTTTTCCTTCTCTCCCTTTCTCTCTTCCTCTCTCTCTTAGTCTCTCTCTCCTTCTCTTTCTCTTTGTCTTAAAAGAAGAGAGAAAATCTATAGGTCAGCATATGCCAAATTCTTAAAACAGTGTGTAGCACAAGGATGGCTCTTGGTAAATGCTGTAGTGTCCTAAGCCCTGATCCCCATCTCCATCTACCTAAAATCTTTGTAGAACTGTCTATTGCCTCTCACAGGTTCCATGTACACCCTGCAAGGACAGAGCCAGGTGGAACCAGGAGATGGAGCTGGATCCCACATTTCCAGCTTTCAACTAGACTATGCTCATCTCTGGGCCTGGGCCCTTTGTCTTGCGGAGAATACCAGGACAGCAGGCCTTGAATGCCTGGCTTTCTGTGCCTGTGTGCCTGCTATACATGGCAGCTATGGCAGGGAATTCCCTTCTATGGGGGCTGGTGGCAGTTGATAAGACACTCCAGGTACCCATGCACTAGCTGCTGGGGCTTCTGGCAGCCACGGACTAGGTTCTGGCCACATCCATAGTGCCCAAAACCCTGGCTGTGCTCTGGAGCCTGTCAGATGAAATCTCCTTTGGGATCTGTCTAGCTCAGCTCTTTGTTGTCCAAGTGAGTACTCATTGCTCTTCACTGTGGCTATGGACTGCTATGTGGCCTCAGTGCTGCTCACCATGGCTGTGGACTGCCATGTGGCTATCTGCCAGCTTTTATGCTATGTTTATTGCTGACCCAGTGTGTGGTAAGCTTAGTGGCTATAGCTGCTGTGACCTGTGGTGCCTGCAAGATAGTACCCCTTATAGTCCTGCTCCAGAGACTGCCCCATTTTGGACAGCAGGCACTACTCCACACCTATTGTGAGCACATGGGTGTGGGTTGGCTGGTCTGTGGTGACATCTCAACACCTGGTATAGACTCATCACATGTTGCTCTCTCCAGCACTGGACCTAGGGTTCATAGATGCTTGCTCATTCTCCGTGTTGTTTGTTGCCTGCCATCCCATGGTGTCCCCCCAAAGGCCCTGGGTACCAGCAGGGCCCATGCCAGTGTCAGCACTCTTTTTATACACCTGCCCTCTGCCCCTTCCTGGCTTACCATTTTGGCTGCCACACCGTGCCCTGCCACGTCCACATCTACTGGCTAACCTCTATGTGGTGGTGCCACCTGCCTTTAATGTCTGAATTTGGGGGTACAGTGAGAAGTAATAAAGGATACATACAAAGGAGCTACAAATTCCTCATTGAAAAAATGGGGGGGTGGAGAAACTCATGCTTCACAGAAAATCTGATATCCACCTTGGCACTTGGGTGAGTGTGAGACTCACCGCTGCCTGAGAAGTACTCAAGCGGTGTAGCAGCACCAGGGACACAAAACTATGATTCTTTGTCCAGGACTCAGGACCCAATCTCTTCCTTTTATGTAAGGAGTCCAGTTGAGAGCCCAGAGGACTGGAGGCTCAATAGACTCCTGTGACTGGTTAGAAGATATTGGGAGGGAACTTTCCTGAAGGACAGACAATGGAGGCTGTTGATATCAGGAGCTTGAACTGAGGGTTACATTTGAATAGTGGGGAGGGATAGAAATGTTTAGAAAGCCTATAACAGTGGAGGAGACTAATTTCTAGGGGTAAGGCAGAGCACATAACAGAGTAGACCAGTACGGTGTTGCTGAAGCAAACCCCCTAGATATACATCTTGGCCCTCATCCAAAGGCACATGGTTAAGTTAATGGCTCTGTCCTTGGGAAGAAGCAGGTAAAGTTGCATTTCCTTCTAGAATATTTCTGGCCTCAAAGCTGAGGGATACACCATAATCCCTCCTGAAAAGGACCCATCTAAAGGCCCCCACAAAATGTATCAGGTTTGCCTTAATCTGTTTGGACAGGGGGGCCCAGCAGAATGAGGGCAGATCTCAGCTTGGGGATGAGAAAGACCCTGTTTGTAGTGAGAAACTCATTTCCACCCCATATCTGCAGGCACCAGAGTGTCGCAACCCTTCCCTCCCACCTCTTTTCCCCATACCTTCTTCACAGCCTCTCTCACTCTCAGTTCATTCAGATGTCGAAATCTGTGCCCCTCCTGGTGAGACTATTCACTTGGACCAGAGATAAAAGCCTGGGGGAACTCAGAGGTCTTAGTTCATCCTGCAGCTGATGCGAGATGCAACCCATCCCTGCCCTTTTGACTATTCTGCTGCTGCTGTCCCTGGTGCTTCCAGGACAGCCTCAGGTACAGGTGGGGGGATCACAAGCAGGGAGGGAGATGATTCTATGCTTTGTATTGGCTTCCCCCACTGCTTAGATCCTTCAAGAACCCCCAGGTTCTGGGAGAGTGAAGGTGGAGATAGATGGATGGAGGAGGAGAGAGTACCCTGCCTGCTCTGATGATCCCTGGGCTTAGGTGGGTACAAGGTGAGGGAGGAAAACAAGGATAAATGTGAGTGGGAAGAATTCTGGACTGTCCACCTGCTCCTGATGAACCTTCATTTTAAGCAGAAGTTCACTACCCTTTACCTGTGCTAAGGGTGTAGGAACTGATGGAGGTCAGCCCGAGCTGTTGTATGTGTGTAACCTCTGCTCCATTATCCCCCAAAGCTATACACTATTGAGCTGGAGTTGCAGCAGGCTTAAGACAAAGCCATATTAACTACTAGGGCCATAGAAGCTATGTGTGGGACTATTCAGAGAAGGATCGAGGACATATCTTAATTCTTGAAGATTCTGTAGAGAAACCTCAGCTGGTGCCACAAGCCTAGTCAACAACTTGGGAAGAAGTCTCCAATCTAAGGCTGGTTTTTCCAGCTTCAAAATGGGAGTGGACAGATGGACATAGAGGATAATAACTAACAGGCTAATAAGAGTCTTAATAACTAAAAGTCTATAATAACTAATAATAACCATAGATTATTAAGAGCCTTTGTAAATTAATCTCTACATGTAGTTTTGCTTCTTAAAGTAAAACATAAGTATCCTCACTTACACAAAAGGACACTGGAACACAGAGAGAGTAATTCACCCATCATTGCAGAGCCAGAAGTAGAACTGAGGCAGTCTGGCTCTGGAATCAGTAGGTTATAAGTTAAGATTATAGGTAAAGGGAATAAGACCTCCAAGTTATGCATCTCTCTTTTCTAGAAACTTTCCTCCTCACTCTATTTAGCTGAGGTAAAGCAGCTGCCTGCCACCCTCACCCTGCTGGCCTGCATCACACCCTAACACAGCTGGAGCTCTGCAACTCCCTTAGGAGCACAGGCACAGGATTTAGAACAAAGCTGGCAGCCTGGTCACTTATTAATCATGTGACTCCACAAAATATTACTTTTAAATAGTCAGAACCTCTAGTTTTTTAAATTATAAAATGTAGATTACAAATCCTACCTTGTCATGTTCTTGTGAATGCTGAATACCAGTCCAGACTCTGGTGCCTGATGGTGCTGTTAATATTAATTTTCTTTCTTTGAAAATTTGGAACTCTCCATGCCTACTGTCTTCAAGACAACAAAATGTTCTGGGGATCCACTGAATCTCTACAGTGGGGGTACTGCAAGGAACTGCAGCCCCCAAACCAGTCCCCTGACAAGTCTCTTTGGAGCATCCAGGAAAATCTGCTTCTAGTTATAGGAATTGCAGTCAGATCCAGCCAGTATACAAGGTAGGATGAAGGTGGCCCTATGAACAGGAGCTAGGAGGGGACCATGGCTTCAGTTCTGAGAAGTTAAGGAAAGGGTCCCTCACATTCATGGCTGAAGGGTGCCCATAGTCAAGAACAGCCTCCTGTGCAGAGAGAGAAGGGTCAACCTCTTCTTTTGCTTCATTGCCAAAAAGCACACTGTGCCCCAACATATAAGCTTAATGTGCCTGTGACTTTGCAGTTGGTAAGAGATGTGCCAGGTTCTGTCGATAAGAATGGCATATGCCATTGTGTGGTTTACCTGCCCAGCAACCTCGTCCCCCTGAAGCAGTTGGAACAGCTACTGAGTACAGCCCAGGAGCTCGTGGGCAAGTATGAACAGGAGCTCTCCAGGGTGAGTGCTGGGGCTGGGGCTGGAGTTGGGGCTAGGTCTGGGACAGGAAGTAGCATAAGGATGAGCTCTAGTGGTAAAGAAGGAGCTGATGGAAGCACAACCCTCATCTTTGAGGTGAATCCTTAGTATGAAGAGAAAACTAGGTATTGCTTTGGGGATCCTCAGGGGTACTAGCAGAGAGGCTTATGTAATGGGTATTTCCTACATTAATGGGTGAATTAGTGAGTTTGGATTCACTGGGAGCTAGGAAGAGCAAAAAAACAAGAAAAGGCTTGGAAATGAGATGACTAGTGCACAGGAGGCAGAAGAGGATTTGAATAGAAGAGTTAAAATAGGGACAATCGGTGGAGAGATATGTGGGCCAGGCTGGTGAACTTAGAATTGGTGCTGTAAGTAAGGATGGGTAAATAGAAATGTTGCATTAATAGATGCATCAATAGAAGTGTGATGTGGGCAAGTTGTTTTATGTAATGGTCACTAGTGGAGCTCCTTGGGAAGGTCAGTGGGATAGAACCAGACTGGAAGCTGGAAATCAGTTCATTTATTCCCTTACTAAAACACTCCTGAGAGTGTGTGGCCCTGAAAAGGAAAAAGAGAGTCTGGGCAGTTTAAGGGAAAGACTTATCATATTTTGCCATGAATATACACTCTCTTTTTTTGCCCAAATTTTTGAGGGAAAATAAGGATGAGCATTCATTATACATGGGTAGTACTAATTCTGTATCTATATACTGTAAAATGAAAGATTTTTCTCCTGACAGTTTGGTCCAAAAATGTGAGTGCACATTATGCATGGGAGCACATTATATTTCTCCTGCAGGGGAAAGGATGCTAGTATTCTCAGCTGTGAAATAGGGATAATGTTAATGGTCACCTCAAGAGCTTTTAATAGAAGCAAATAAGGTGACAGATATGAGAGAGTTGTGTAGGCTATGTGGCACTGGTGGGGGACCTATAAATCGATGGGAAAAACCATGGCTACTGAGGTTTGGGGGAACTGATTATCCATCCTCCCATTCCCAGGTCAGTGAGTATGCACATGCCACTGAAGATCAGGATAACCAGGTCCTAGAAATGAACCATGCCCTGAAGTTCAGGAATCCTACTGCCCTTGCTGCCTCCTATGAGTCCCCAGCCTTCAACCTGCTGCGCCTGGAACTGGAGGGAGCACAGGAGTTAGCAGCCCAGCTTAAGGCTAAGGGAAGAGTTAGTGCAGCTGGGGACCTTCTCTACCAACTCCAGAGCCAGGTATGTGGATGGATTTAAGAATCTCTCTCCCTTGCCCTGGCTGGTGTGGCTCAGTGGATTGAGTGACAACCTGTGAACCAAAGGGTTGCTGGTTCAATTCCCAGTCAGGAGATATGCCTGGGTTGTGGGCCAGCTTCCCAGTTGGGGGTACAACCACACATTGATGTTTCTCCCCCTCTCTTTCTCCTTCCATTCCCCTCTCTCTAAAAATAAAATAAATAAGATGTTAAAAAAAGAACCTCTCCCTCTTTCTAGCCCCTGTCCCATCTAATTGAAAATTTGAATTTCCAAAATTACTTCTTTCTGGAGAATAAGACCCTGAGCTAAGAAATGTGGGATCCTGAGTTCAACTCTTTAAGAACACTCAGTGACCCACATTCCTGGCATCTCATTTCCATAGGTGGCTAATGCTAGCCTCACACTCAAGCTTCTGGCTGACTCTGACCAGCGCAGCTTCCGTGCTCTCCGCCAGGAGGTGGACGTCCTTGAGAGCCGGCTAAGCGAGTGTGAGAGGGAGAAGGAGAAAGAAGAGGCCTCCAGAAACTCCAGCCCATTCCTACCCCCAGGTGAGGTCTTATATTAAATTTTCCAAGATATCATCTCCCCAAGGACAAGGTTGGGCATGTAGGGTTGGCTATGGTGTACTGAGGGGTGGGCAGTAAAGATCTTGATGTAGAGTAAGTCTTTTATTCCCTTGTTTGGTGTATCACTAAGGGATGCAGACCTAAAATAGTACACTCTCACACATTGGCATGCCCACATACATAGACAAGTAAATACACCCACAATCAGACATATGCACTAGTTGCTATTCATACACAATCACACATGCTTATACATACATTTTTATAGGCACTCAGGTGCATGGACATACACTCAAATGCACATATACTTTCATACTCTGCTCTCTGTGAGTCATATGCATCACATCAGGCTCATACCTGCCTGCTCTCTTCTCTAGGCTCTTGTGCCCATGGAGGCCTCCAGAAAGTCAGCAGACCCCTTGTGGTACAGCTCAATTGGAGAGGCTTCTCTTACAAGGCAGGGGCCTGGGGTCGAGACTCAGCCACCAACTCATCCTCTTCCCTCTACTGGGTGGCCCCTCTGCGTATAGATGGAAGGTGAGTCCAGAATGTTTTTTCTTCTGCAGTCAGGTTCATTCCAAATATTCCCTAACCTACCCTGACAGGTTTCCTGTTAGCCCCATCTCAACTTCCTCTATTTCTATGCCCTTGGGAAAACTTAGTCTAGGCCTGACAGGTTACCTCTTAGTGCTCCTCTCATGGGTTAAGGATGGTTCAGATGGCCCTAAGCTTCCTTTACAAATCCACTGTCTGAAATTTCCAATTCCATCTAATCTAGAGCTGGCTCTATTCAAGCCTGATCTCATCTCCAAAACAAACTCTTCTATACCTGGGCCTCAGAATCTTACCTTCTGCTCAGAAAAAATTCAGAGGATAAACTTGGCCATGCTTGGAGACTTGGAGTCAAACAAATCTGAGATTGATTCTCAATGCTGCCACTTAAGCTAAGTGACCTTGTGAATTAACATCTCAGACCCATCTTAGCCAGCTGTAAAATGAGAATATCATATAAGATTATACAGAAAAGTGTAAATGATACAGCAGGTACAGAAAAGAGTATTTTTTAAAGAATGGCTAAAGGAATCAATGAGTAGACAAATGCACTCTTCAATAAGTCTGGCTAGGAAGGCAGATGCAACTCCCAGACCAGGCATTTGAAGTGAGAACAGACACAATGTGATATAGACTCAGTTGAGTAGGAGGTCATGGGAGGAGGGGATGAATGTGAGTTGAACTAGTCATTGAAGAACCCCAGTTGAAACTTACCTAAGAACGATGAGCTCTCTGCTAATAATAATGCTCCCAAATTTCTACAGATATTTTGTAGCATGCAAAACACATTTGCAAGCTTTTTGTTTTTAAGCCCTCTCAGAATCTCTGTGGGCAAGGCAAGACTTACTGCCCAATATTAAGAGATGGCAATACTTACAAGTTAGGAATAATTTAAGAGACTTTTCAAAGTTACCTTCTGAATCCAGCTTCAAAACTCTGTCCTACTATAGGGTATCTGTGCCTCAGTGACAGATGGATGGCAATGAAGTCTAAGAAAAGATTATCCATAAATAAGAAAAAAATAATAGCTATCACTTGTTCATTACTTACTTTGAAATGAATGCTCTAGTAATTATTTTATTTGCATATCTTAGTCCTGACAAGCACTCCCTCTGACAAGGAGGTAATTTTTTTTTTACAAATTTTACTTATGAGCTGAGTAACCTGGAGCCAATTATTTATTCTTTATTCGAGCCATTCTCCCAGCCTGTGGGGAGAAAACCTATCTAAAAGTTATTTTATTATAATTAAATGAGATAATGTAGAAAAAATGAAATATATGTATATAAAAGAACAAATGAAAATAAAAAAGATAAAAAAAGAAAAACAAAAAAGAGATAATGCACATATAGTGCTTATTAGGTATCATTGTTGTTGATGTTATTAGTATTACTGATACTGTTTTTTTTACAATTATTTATTCTCTTGTGGTATATTGTAAGTAAAAAAGAAAGATTAAAAATCAATTCTGTTTGATTCCAAAGGCCCCACTATTACTGAGAACGTTAGCCTGCTCATTTTTTAATAGCACTCTGTTTCCTTGCTTTCTGCTGTCACCTGCTGATTCTTGTGTGGGGTTTGGCTTAGGTACTTTGACTACTACCGACTGCACAAGTCCTATGATGACCTGGTACTGCTGAAGAACTATGAGCAGTGGAAGATGGGCTATGGTGATGGCAGTGGTAATACAGTGTACAAGAACTTCATGTACTTTAACTACTATGGCACAGGTGAAATGGCCAAGGTGGACCTTTCTTCCAACAGCCTGGTTCTGCAGCGCCCATTGCCAGGTGCCACCTACAACAACCGCTTCTCCTATGCTGGTGTGTCCTGGAAAGATTTAGATTTTGCTGGTGATGAGAAGGGGCTATGGGTGCTCTATGCTACAGAGGAGAGCAAGGGCAACCTGGTTGTGAGTCTCCTCAATCCCAACACCCTAGAAGTGGAGGAAACCTGGCACACCAGCCAGTACAAGCCAGCTCTGTCAGGGGCTTTCATGGCCTGCGGGGTGCTCTATGCTTTACGTTCTCTGAGCACCCGCCAAGAGGAGATCTTCTATGCTTTTGATACCACCACTGGGCAAGAGCACCATCTCAGCATCCTGCTGGATAAGATGCTAGAAACACTGCAGAGCATCAACTACTGCCCCTCAGATCACAAGCTGTATGTCTACAATGATGGCTACCTGGTCAATTATGACCTCAGCTTCCAGACACTGAAGAGCAGGCTACCAAAGCCACTAGTCAAAAGGTCATCTGGAGCTAAGGCTCCACCCAATGCTGTCAAACTCAACAAGTCCCGCAGGCCTTGAGACCCAATAGTAATAGCATTGGTAGAAATATGTCCTCTTCTTCACTCCCCAAAATAGCCATTACCTTTAATGACTGGTCACATTGATTATATCTAGTAAATTCTTTACATTTAATATCTCAATCAGTACATTAAAGTTCTCTTTAATAATGGTCTAGGTGGATTTTATTGAGGTTTGATTGGGAAATAAAATATGGGCTGGAAAACATTACTGTCTCTTTACCAGAATCCTAGAATTACAGGAACTGGAATTTTAAAAAATTCATATTTTGTATTTTGAAAACTGTGAATCCAGTTCCTATAATTGTAGGATTATGTGAGCTAGGTTTAGAATCATCTCAGGTCTAGAACCTCTGGTTCCAGCGCCACAGATCCAGGGGAGCTGATCATTAGATTGAGATGTGTGAATTCCCTTCTTATCTGCAACCACCTGTGGAGTACCTGGGAGAATAAAGGGCAGTGTCTTGGTGTGAAAATCAATGTTTCACTGTCCTGAATATATCTCACTTTCAAGTATAATTGGGAGAGGGCTTGGATTTGAGTCATGCTCTAAGAAGTAAACAACTGATAGCTGAGCATGAAGCAAGCCTGACATGGATTGAGGTGGAGGTCCAGACATTCTAATAAAGAATCCTTTAGTGTGATAGCAGGAAGTCTCCTAGACAACTATCTGTAGTTTCTTTGTTCAGCTTCAACGCACTGAGAACATATGGGCCTGGACTCTCCTTGACACCTATCTTCATGATGAACTTATCCTCTAGGCAGGAAAATAAAATGTTCAAGGTTTCAGACCTTGAAGTCTTCACAGTCATACAGATACCAGAATAACCAACACACTGCTTCATTCTTATACTTTCACACATATTCATGCACAAATATATATCCAATTAGACATGTGCATTCTCATTGTTGCATATATAGTATTTCCATCCACACCCAAACATCAACATAGACATAAATATGCATTTTAACCTATTTACTAACAAAAAACTCATCTGCTGCCAAAATAAAAATTAACCACCATCCTCCAAATTTATATGGAACTGAGAACTTGGCTTTTTAGTTGCCTAAACCTGCCATTAGGAATTTCACTGTTAACAGCCTTTACTTTCACCTCTTGGTTTACAGACATTTCTTCCTCTTAATGCTTCAACAAAAAGGCATTTAAGATGAGACTTCAAAGGGCCAAAATAATTTTAGGACTGTATAAATGTAACTACTGCTTAACTGTTAAGGAGCTGAAATTACATTCAGCCCTTTGAAGGCAACCACGAGGATGATGTGGCCCCTGGTGAAAATGAGTTTGACACCCCTGCCCTAGAGGAAGCTTCCATGGTTAGTTAGTCCTGTTCCTGCTTCTAGCACACAGCGAATTCCACCCACCGCACCCCACCAGTCCCCTGGGAACACTCTCAGTTAAGTCTAGAATCCCAAAATTTAGACACAAAGGAAAACATGACCTCTTCTTTCACTTAAGAACTTTGTTCTTGCTCTATTTCCCTTTCTAATTCCCAACTCTTTCCAGATCACTAAAAAAAAACTATGAGCTTTTTCCTATAAGAGATTCTGTTCTTATCCACATTTATGTACTTTTATCTATGGCTTCAGTAGACCCTGCTTTTCTTACTACATGCCTAATATTCGTACAAGAAACTCATACATAGCACCACATATCCCACATAACCAATCTGGTTTTTAATTTATTTTTTAATAGTTCCATCCTGAGAACTTTGTGCCCAATTTCCTGCATAATTGTCTTATTTTATTTCATTATATAGACCTGGACTCACTAAATATGTCCTCTTTTCCAAGTTAGTCCTGGCAGAGACTGTGAGGCCAGAGTTAACATCACAATATCTATTTCCTGAAGAGGTTATGATCCTGGTGGGTGGGGCAAGGGAGGAGCAGCCCTGGGAGGAGTCATCTCTACTTAGCCCACCTTGCACCAAGTATGAATCAATAGCCAAGACAGATCTCAGTTGGGCCACCTTTGGAGAACTGGAGTGAGGGTAGAACTTCACAAAATACCTGGGTCAAGCCTGGTCATTCATCCTTTTTGGGGCAACAAGCCTGTGACCTGAAAACACAACACCTGAGACACAGGCCAGTGGTCTCCCCTCACTCCATCTACCCCAGCTTCCACCTGTTCTCCATTTGCCTTTCTTTCAAGGTCCATGCTGCATGTCATCTCTCGAACATCCAGGATGGCCCAAATTGGGCATCTTTCAGGTCAGCCTGCCAATAAGAACATTTCTTCAAGTATCATTCGAGTGACATTAAAGACACCAGGCAAGCAGGAAGACTTTATAATAGCTGCTGATACCTCAGTCAGGCAGTTCAAGGAGAAGCTATCAGCTCATTTTAAATGCCAAATGGACCAGCTAGTGCTGGTCTTCATGGGCTGCCTTCTCAAAGACCATGACACACTGAGCCAGAGGGGCATCCTGGATGGTCACACCATCCATTTGGTCATCAAGTCTAAACAAGGCTCCAGATCCCTGACCCATTCCTCCCAGAACATGCCAACCAACAAGTTCTGCTACCGGGACAGAAACCTCAAAAGAAACATTAGTGAGGTATTCCAACCTGCTGTTATGAATCACACGTCAGTGGAATCAGCCCTCTTTGTGGAGCCTGATGCACCCCAGGGGCTTACCCAGGACCTGGAAGTAGGTAGACATGAGTGCATAACACAGATGCTAGAAAATTCAAGTGCCCAGTTGCTTCTGTCTACCACCGACCTCATGAGACAGTTCATCTCAGAACACCCAGAAATGCAACAATTGATGCAGCAGAATTCAGAAGTCTCACACATCCTTGACAATTCTGAGATCCTATGGCAGACCCTGGAACTGGCTACAAACCTTGCCTTGATTCAAGAGATCATGCAGATCCATCAACCTGCACAGACTCTTGAGCGTCCTCTGAGCTCACCTTCACAACTGGGTCTAGAGACAACCCCAGGTGGGAACAAGGCCTTGGACCAAAGCTATGCTGATTCCAAAGATCAAATACTGAACAGCTCACAAGATCCCTTTAGGGGTAACCCTTTCACAGTTCCTATAGAAGGACAAGTGCAAGAACAAGTCCACTTCTCACCCTCATATCCACCATCATCCCAGGAAAGGCTGGACCAGCTCCCTGTAACCCAAGTCATCTATACTAGTTCTTGTGATTTATCTTCAATCACCTCACCCAGTGCTACCCCCAACAAGGTGAGCCATACTTCTAGGGGTAATACTGCTACTAATTCCACCAAGGGCCAGAATCATATCTGTGACATTCAGCAGCCAGCTGGGGTACAAGCCTTACCTAACAGAGAGCTCACACAGCAACTCCAGGCAGAAGACAAAGATGACACCATCTCTCTAGATAGCTCTGGTCAGAGGCTGGAGGATGACCTCCAACTTTCAGAAGAACAGACTGCTTCCTCCCAGATCATAGGAAGCATGATAAAATTGCTTTTGAACAACTCCTACCTGGCCGTTCAGATGATGATGTTCATGAGCATGTCCCAGTTGAATGAACAGTGGAGGCAGCAGCTTCTCACCTTCCTGCAGCAGACACAGCTTTCTGACATTCTTATAGCCCTAGCCAACCCTAAGGCATCTCAAGCAATGTTGCAGATTGAGCATGGTCTACAGCTGCTGACTACTGAGGCTCCTGTTCTTCTGCCCTGGATTGCACCTTATCTCTGGGGCTTGGGTTGTCTTCCTGCCCCCAGTTGCAGCTACCCTGACACAGTGCCCAGGGCCTGGGATGTGCCAAATATGGCTGAGTCTGAAGGGCCTGAGTGCTGCCATAAATCTGGAGCAAGCCTGTAGAGGCTACAGTCCATAGCTAAAGATCCTTCCCCTCTTCTACAAGCCCCTGAGATTCGTTTCAGCAAGCAAATGGAATCACTTCAGGCCATGGGATTTGAGAACTACCACACCATCTGCAGGTGCTCTTTGTTACTGAGGGGAACACCAATGCTGCTATTTGCAAGCTCAGGAGATTCCAAGGATTCTAACTCCCATGTCTGTTTCCTTGTTACCTGCCTACTGACCCATTTGATCACCTCAATTACCAGCCAGAGAAACCCTGGAGTAGGAGAAAGCAACCAATACTTTCTCCACCAAGTAATTGACCATTGGCCATTACTGGAAGATCTGTCAATAAAATGGCTACACTCCACTCACCCCCATCTGAGGTTTGGCTTTCTTTCTTTCACAAAAAAGGCAACTATCTGTGTGCGATATCCTAGTCTCACCTACTTACATCCATGAACACACATATACACATCACATGTCTATATTAATATGGAGAATCACAGGTACACATATAGAACCACATGCACAGATATAATACCATGATTACATACCCAAGAACATGCATATATAGTGTCAGACAGATGTGAACACATGCACAGGTTCACATATCTCAGGTCCATATATATAGACACAAATTCAACACACAGGTATGAACAGCCATATGCTCACATAGATACACACTTCCTAGAGACACATAACAGATCCACATGAAAGGAAGGCAAAACATACACAAGGGGAAAATATTCCAGATGGATTTAGATATTTGGTCATAAAGACTTGATATCTCAAATCCAAATTGTTCAAATCTGAAAGTGGAAAAAGAAAGGCCTGGTCAGCATGGGAAAAAGTCCATTTTAGCCAGGTCTTAATGACTATTCACCCTCTTAGAAGTCTCTTACTAATTGCCATTTTTACAACCATAGGGCTTTTCTGGCTGTTCCTATTCTCTATCACAGACAGTTGCTGGCAGCCTCACTCACATTCCATCTACAAAATGTGCAGGCATCTGTGGGGCATGATACTTTTCAGTAATATTATTCTTCAGCATATCTAGTGTTTGTAGCTCTTATTATCTATAGTTAGCCAAAATCTCATCACCTTTTTTCCTTTCTCTCCAAGAGTATCTCAGCCAATTGGTATGAAAACAATTATAGTTCAACTACTCAGTTATTAAATCATTTAAGAAGCTCTTGCCATAACTTAATAAGTATTGTTTCAGACATTGAAGAAATAGCAGTGATAAAGACTCATTATTTATGGAATTTACTTTCTTTTGTGGTGCTACAGTATTCACCTTATGGACATGTTAGGTGGTGATACATGATATGAAAGAAAATGAAGCAGATTAAGCTGTTCTAAATAAGGAATAATCAGGACAGACCTCTCTGAAAAGGTGACAGCTGAGCAGAAACCAAAAGGAATTTGAGATTTAAACATGCCTCCCAGGACATTTCCTGGGAGAAGTATGTTCCAGGCAGAGAAGGCTGCATAATAAAAGTAAAGCCATCAGGTAGGAGTATTATTTCTTTGAAGAATAACAAAGAGATGATGTAGCTGGAGTGAACGAGAAATGGGAATAAAAAGAGATCAGAGAAATCATGAAGAGATTTGTAGGTCTGATGAGGAATTTGTATTTTACTATGAAAATCCCTGTTGACTTTGAGAAAAAGATTAAAGTTTTTAAAAATTTATCACCTGGCTGTTGAGTATGGAATAGACTGTGGTAAAGGAAAAGTTGGGAGCAGTAAAACTAGTAGATGCTTTTGTAACATAACAGGTAGAAGACGGTAGTGTCTGTGACTAGGGCGGGATCAGTGGAGGGAGTGAGGAGTATTCTGATTCTGGACTGCAAAGGAGATCCACAGAGATGTCGGTGCTCCTTGTAGACCTCCAGTTCTCCAGGCTTGACGTCTTCATCAGCAAGAGTGAAGGACAGGTCCACAAAGATCCAGGTGTGTCTAGCAAACCTGCTGCCAAAGACACCCAATCTACCATTGCCACTTACCAAAAAGGTATGTCTCAAGAAAGGAATTATAGCTAAAAATGATGCTATATCTCCCCAATAAAACATTGCTACTAATCTAATTAACCCTTTACCTTAGTTTCCTCAGTTTACAAAAAAAAAAAAGCCTAAGCTCTCCAGGTCATCTTTCTAATTATCATCCCAATATGCTTGAGCATCTCTCAACTGATTCAATATTCCACTCATCAGTTCTCCAAATCTTTCCATCCTACCAGTTACAACCCTTATGCCTACAACTTTCCAAATGTTCCCTCAGCCTTCTTTGTTGTAAGTTAATTCTGGTTGTCCACTCAGGACATTGCTTCTCCAGCAGTGCCTGTTGCTTATTGCATTCCCTGTGGTCTTAGAAGAAGGGGTTGGTGTCCTCCCTGTACCTTCTTTTGCAATTTGACCACAATTATATTCCTCCAATGTTACTCCATATCTATCAATATAATCATTCTAGCATAGTGCTCACCTAGCAAACTCATAATGGTCTATCTAACTCTGCCTGCTCTCTCTGTAGACAGAAAAAAGCAGACAATGTTGCTGACTAATCTCATCTAAATTTATTACCAAAAAGCATTATTGGTATGTTAATGATTTTCCTACATTTTCCTATTCCAATATTTCTCAACAGAATCTGCATTAAAATAACCTGAAGAGTGTGTGAAACATGAATTTCTGAGCTCCATTCCAAGAGGGTCTGATTCAGTAGGTTTAGAGTAGAGCCCCAGGTGTTGCTGATGCTGCTGGTCTGGGGAACCACATTTGGAGATCCAATGCCTGAGTCAATTCACTATCTTATTTTTTTTTAGATAATCATGTTATATATTTTTAGCTCTTCTTAAACTTTCACCATCCTCATTTCTATTTTTAATTACAGCTGATGTTTTGATTATTCCAACAAGAAGACAAAAGTGATCACAAGTGACTCATCCCTGTGTCCACTACTAAATCAGCATCTGTACTCATACACTCTGCCCTCCAATGTGTTGTATTGAATAACCTGTCCAGGCTCCTAAAACAAACTCTCTACTAATATATCTTCACAAACATTTATTTCACAAACATTGACATTGTTTTTTCTTTCTTCTGCATCATTTTTTCTCATTGGATTGTTCCCATCAGAATAAAACTATGATGTAATATTCTCATCTTAAGAAAAAACAAAAACAAAAGAAGCCTTTATCCTTTGAAAAAGCATTCCCATACAGTCACCATCCTTTCTTCTCATTTAAAGTACTCTTATTAGATCCACTATTTTTCCAATCCATTTGCTTTTAAATTCACTCCATCAGGTTTTCTGCTCCCACAACTTTCCTAAAACTTGTTTCATCATGGTTCTAATTCTCTCTTGTCAACTCCAGTATCAATTCTCAGTTCTCATCCTACTGACCTACCAGCATTATCTGACACATTTGGTTACTTTCTCCTCTTGAAAACTCTTCATCTTCTCTCTTTCTGTTTGCTTTTTTGACTTAATGTTTTATTTTTTCTAAATATTCTTTGCTGAATTAATCTAATCTTCCAGACTTCTAAATATTGTAGGGCCCTATAACTCAGTCTTTTTAACTCTATTCTTTTCCTATATTCACTAGGCTCATGATATTGAATTACCTTCCTACATTTCCATTTTGACATAAAATAGACATTTCAAGTATAAGTGCAACTGACCTGGTTGGTTTTTTTTTTTGGTATAACCACATTCCCTCTTTTACTCTAATGTCAATAAATAACCAATCCATTCTTTGAGTTCTTCTGAATAATAATAATAACAATAATAATAATTTATCTTTATTTAGAGAGAGGAGAAGGGAGGGAGAAAGAGAAACATCACGTGAGATAAAAACATCAATTGGTTGCCTTTGGTACTTTCCCTGACCAGGGACTCAACCTGCAACTCACGCATATGTTTTTACTGGGAATTGACCTGATGACCTTTTGGTTTGTGGGACAATGACCAACCAAGTGAGCCACACCAGCCAGGACAGTAATATATATATTTAAGTTAAAAAATTATGTCATCCTCTACCTCTCTCTCATAGTCTAGCTTCTTCCCATCAGAAAGTCAACAGTTTGAAAATATGTAAAGGATTTATGACTAATGCTGAATCAGAGAAAAGACAAGAACATAAGATACCAAGAAGAAGAGGGTTCACTGAGGAGTACCTGAATTTGATTCTTAATGGGGACACAAAACATTAAGGGTCTTTCTTAGTTCTTAAATCTAAGTGATTCTCCACATACCCCATAACAGGGCTCATGGAAGCAGGACTCTTGGACTCAGAAGGAGGGTCAGCTAAGGCCCCTTACTATGAAAAAGGCAAATGAGATAAAGAAAGTGGAAAAGTTAAAGGTTGTTGGAGATGGAGTTCCCAGGGATCCAGAGTACCTTAGAGAAACCTCAAGAATCCATTGTATGAGGCTGTGATGTCATTGGTGAGGTCACAGAGGTGACCTGACAGAGTGGGTTCCAGCCCAGAAAGCTTCAGGGGTGTCTGTTCAGCAAGATGAGGGTGATTTGGAGCCCTGTATAAGAGAAAGGACAGGGTCACAGCTGTTTGGTATGTATTCCCCAAACTGTGTCATTCTTCTTTCTATAACATCTTTACTCATCAACTGTAGACCTCTTCCCCAGGGCCTCAGGTGTTCCTTCCCTGACCACAACATCTGTCAGACCCATAATCCTCTCATAGCATCCTATCCCAGGGACCTCATTGCCCCTTTTTGGGATCCATCTGTTTCCCCACCTTGAGATCCCAGGTCCTCTTTCTGCTCACCTTTCCTACTTTCACCATTGCCCAAAAGGATGATCTTTGTCTCCCATTCACATCCCTCAGCTGTGTCCCCACATATCTGGGCCTCCTACTGCCTACCATGGCTAAAAGCGGAGAGGCCCTGCCGCGGGGCAGCCCAGCACCAGTCCAGGATCCTCACCTCATCAAGGTGACAGTGAAGACACCCAAGGACAAAGAGGATTTCTCAGTTACAGACACTTGCACCATCCAGCAGCTAAAGAAAGAGATATCTCAGCGCTTTAAGGCTCACCCTGATCAACTGGTCCTAATCTTTGCTGGCAAAATCCTCAAGGACCCTGACTCACTGGCACAGTGTGGAGTTCGAGATGGACTCACTGTCCACCTGGTCATCAAGATGCAACACCGTACCCTGGGCACCAAGTCCTCAGCTGCCTCA